GGCCTTTTTTTTTTTTTTTTTTTTTCCCCTGAAGCAGGTTCTAAGTCACTCATTTGCCCAGGCTGAGTTTGAACTTGCCATAGTAGTATCACCCTCCTACAATACTGGGATTACAATGTGTCATCACTCCCAGATGGAAAGAAACATTTAAACAAAGAATTCACTGAGTGGTCAGGGAAGAGGTGCCTAAAGCTGCTGTCCATTAACTAGGTTTAATCCAAAACCCTGTTTGCTTCTCTATCAGAGGGATTTACTGTTGTCTCACATGGCTGGAGCATAGTAAAGAGAGAGGTAGGGAAGAGGTGAAGACAAAGTGGGTGTGAATAGATCATGAGAAGCATTGAATTCCATTCTAAAGAGTTTAGATTATGCACTATGAACAATAAGTGTTAAACCAGGCGTGGTGGCACACGCCTGTAATCCCAGCACTCAGAGGCTGAGGCAGGAGGATCGCCGTTGGAAAGGAGCCTGGGATACACAGTGAGTTCCAGAGCAGTCTTAACTACATAGTGAGACCCTGTCTCAGAACCAAAAAAAACCAGTAAGTGTAAATAACAAGCTAGGTGGCTGAATACCTGTAATCCCAGCCCTCAGAAATTTGAGGCAGAAGAAGTTGTAGACCACCATGGGCTATGTAGTGACTTCAGGACAACCCAGAAATATGTAATAAAACAAAAAAAAATTTTTTTACCTAAGTATAAATAACAAAAATACTTAACCTTAATCTGGGCCTCTTTGGCAGTCTGGGAACCCCATCTTATAAAAATGCTTATAAATATAAAATAAGATACATAGAAGCATAAGTGAAACCAATGTTTTTAAAAGTTTTAAAAATATTTTTAATGGTGCATGCCTATAATCCCAACACTCCGGAGGCCAAGAGTTCAAGTCCAGCCTGGCCTACATAGCAAGACCCTGTCTCATTAAAAAACAAAAATATTGGGCCAGGGATCAAACTCAGTAGTTCTGCTGCCTGCCTCACAAGCGCAATGTCCCAAGTTCAATACCCAGTACCAAAAAAAGTATATATTTTTTTAAATGTATGGTATAGTTATATATATATTTCTTTGTGTATCAAGTAATATCTAGCATCAGGCCTAATTATGTAATTTTGAAGTAGTGATAAATATAAATTTTATTTTGAAATATCTACAACTTTAATGTGATGTACAGCTGTCAGGTTTCTGTTGGTGACAAAGACATAAGGACTGTTAATACCCCTGTAGCCTGTTGCCTACACTTGAAGAATATGCTAAATTTCAGATAGAGATTATTGAAAATGAAGATACAGTTTTTTCCCAGTCCCACTTCATAGAACCTGGAAATTCAGGTCCATCTGGGTTTATGGATCCCAGGTTTTACAATATCCCAGAGTGATGTTTTTCAGCAAGAGCATCCCAGGTTAGCTGGACGTGGTGGCCCATGCCTGTAATCCTAGCCCATGAGAGGCAGAGGCAAGAGGAGCACTGTGATCAAGGCCAGTCTGAACTACACAATGAGACCCTGTCTCAAAAAGAAAAAAAAAAAAAAGCATGCCAGGTCAGATCTGTAGTTCCAGAAGTTGTGTTTACTTCCCGGCCTCTCAGCTGGAATTGGGGAACAAAACTGGTTATTTTCTCCTGCTCCTCCACCTCTAGGCCTGAACAAGAGATGAATGTATATGTGTGAGGGGATGAGCATGTTTTTGGGTGTGTGTATGTGCGCAGGCGGGTGCTTGGAAATAAAACAGGAAGGAAATAAATAAGGAAGGGGTTGAAAGTCAGTGAATGCCAGTGTTTTTTATTGTTGGTTTGAGACAGGACCTTCCTATCTAGTTCAGGCTGGCTTTGAACTCCCTGTGTAGTCCAGGCTGCCCTCAAACTCAGGATGCTCCTCCTGCCTTAGCCTCCCGAGTGCTAGGATTACAGGCGTGCATCACCACACCCAGCAATGCCAGTGTTTACTTTGTACTTAATTTGGTAAACAATGGAGAGATGTTAAAATTTTTGGAAAATAATGTGATTAGAGTTCTACTTGAAAAATTCATATAGAATGTCAAAAGAAAAGATAGGAAGAAGCTAAATTAATTTTTTAATCTCTTAAGTAAATTACTTTTTCCCCCTCAGTGTGTTGACCAGTGTAAAGAAAAATAGATTGGAGAAACTTACAGGGTCGAGGATATAGCTCACTGGCTCTGCACCTGCCTGGCAAGTGTAAGATCCTGAGTTCAGTCCCCTGTACCAGGAAAAAAAATCAAGGACAGGGATGTAGCTCAGCAGCACAGTGCCTGCCTGGAAAATTACATACCTTTTTACAGGAATATACACCCTAGCATAGCAATCACCTGGCATTTTATGTGATCAAGAGGCAAACCCAATGTTTAGTTTTATAAATTATATTGTTAGTACTTCTACAAAGCAATAGCCTTACACATATATATAAGTTCGGAGATGTTAGTGAGGCCTGCAATTTTTTTTTTTTTTTTTTTTTTTTTTTCTGAGAGGATCTCGCTATGTAGTTCAGACTAGCCTTGAACTCACTATGTAGCCCAGGCTGGCCTCCAACTCGTGGTGATCATCCTGCCTCTGCCTCCCAAGTAATGGGATCACAGTGGCCCACACCACACCCAGTTTAGTGAGGCCTTCCTTATCAAATCCCATCTATATTCATATGACTTCTTCAAGGGCCGGGGATTTAGCTCAGTGGCACAGCACCTGCCTTCCAAGTGCAAGGGCCTGAGTTCAATCCCGGTTGCCAAAAAAAAAAAAAAGTGTAATATTACTCCTTCATGTCTGACATTTTAAAGTCAGGCTCCCTTCTCTTCATAGAAATCCTTTGAACTTTTATCAGTACTAGACTACATTTTTTTAAAAACTTAACTGCCAGAAGCTCAGCTAGTTCCCAAATTATGTGCTTACTAAGTACATTATTGGCAAAATTCAGCAAGGAATTTAAATATTACTAATCCAGGGCCAGGGATTTAGTTCAGTGGTGCTGCCACGTGCTTCACAAGCACAAGGTCCTGAGTTCGATCCCCAGTACCAAATAAATAAATATTACTAGCCGGGCGTGATGGTGCATGCCTATATCCCAGCACTGGGAGGCTGAGGCAGGAGGATCGCTGTGAGTTCAAGACCAACCTGGGCTACACAGTGAGTTCCAGGGCAGTCTGAACTACAGAGTGAGACCCTGTCTCAAAAAAAAAAACAAAAACAAAAACAAAACAAAACAAAAAATATATATATATACATATATATATATTCCAAAGGAGTGATGTACAATTACTCATCTTGCAGACCACTTCTCTCAGGGCCACCTCTCCAGCATGACCGCCTGTATTGATGACTTTTTCATCCAGCACCCTTGCATGATTGGAAGCCACTCAGTGGTGATGTGGTTCAACACAGACTGAAAAATCAAGTTTATGCCAAGTTTGAAACTGAGCTGTCTGTTCCCTTTTTGGTG